GTAGACCTCCCTTATAATTCCGATGTGATGCTTTTGTTGGCAAGTGAGGGAAAGCCCAACTCAACCTGCCTTAAATAAGGAGCTTTCTTATCTCTAGTCACGGGTGCTGAGCCCTGCAGCTACCCTGCCTCCAGCAGGCGTTTGCTGTATCCAGGAACCTGTCTGTCTCCATCCTCATTGGACAGAGAGGGGGCTGGCTCAGTCTGCCCACCGAGGTCCTCTGCTCAAGGACACAGCCTTTGGAGGCGTTAAGGAGGGCCCACGAGATTCACACGCCCAGTAAACACCTCACCTCCCAGCCCTCACATTGCAAGAGACGCCCAGGACGAATGCAACAAGCTCACACCCCTTTGAACGCAGCCGCCACCAGAAGCCAGGACCCCAGGCCAGCACCAGGTAAGGCCACACAGGCGACCGCAGCACGGACTGGAGCAGTGGCCTCGGCCCTCCCTCTGGGAAGCTGTGGATCCCCCAGCACGTCACTTATCTCCCAGTGCCTCAATTTCCCCTTCCATAATGTGGGGCTATTCCAGAGCCCAGCTCTCAGGGCGGTTGTGTGAAGCCCTTACTTAGCAGAGGGCGACTCACACGGCAGGTTAGTTGTTTCTCTTTCTACCCCCAAAACCTCATGCCCCACTGCTCTCGGTGCACCCCTAATCAGACTCAACTTCACGCATCTCCCACCTCCCCAAACCAGTGGCACACCCAAGGCGGGCGGAGGCGGCAGCCTGCCCGGTGCCGGCAAGGAGGTCTGTGAAGCATTGAAAAACAAGAGCAAGACCTGCTTCCCATTATCACCAGGCACCTGCTGTTCTGGACAGCGTCAGCCATAATGTTCTCCTCCCTTCCGGAGCACACCGTCCCCCTTCTCCTGCCCGACAGACGCCACTGCCCAGACCCTTCCGTCGTGTCCCTTAGAACGAGCTGGCACTGTCGGCAGGGTCCCCGCACGCAGCAGCCTCCCCGTGCCGTCCCTCGGCCCTCTCGCTCTCACGGCGACCCGGAGCTCCCCTGAGCCCACACGTCCCTGGCGGCCTTTCAAGGAGGTTTACCCCTTTCCCACAGGCTCTGAGATTAAAACTCCCTGCCACCCCTTCTTCCTTGCAGTCACCTGTAGACCCTGAGTTTGGGTCTCAGAGTCCGAAGCTTTTGGCCCTTGCCATGTCTCCAATGTGAACCGGGTCCTCATTTGGGGGGATTTTAATATCTGCAGTGAGAATCCTTCCGATAACCCAGCCTCTTGGTTCCTTAGAGTCCTTTCCTCCCATGAACTTGTCCTCACCCCTACCTCAGCCGGTCACCCCCATGATTATACCTTGAACCTTGTTTTCACCCCTACCGCCCACCCAGGTCCATGCTTTAACCCACAGGTCCTGTCTTTCCCCACGCTGCCCGTGGTTCCCTGTGTCCGTGCTTCTGTGAGCTCACCCGGACTTCCTTCCACCCACATCATCGTCCTTTTACTGCCCCCTTCACCCATCATGCCCTCCACTCGCTCCTTAGATCCTGTGACCCATGAGTTCTCTCTGGGTGGTACCTGCTTGGCAAAACCCCCGGTCTGGGTTAAATCCGGCTTTCCCTGTACTCCACACCTGTACCCAGGTATTCCTTCACATGGACAGCCTCTAACTCCGGCCAGCCCCCCGTGTGTCTGCTAGCCACGTTTCCCCAGCCCAGTGTTTTTCAAACTCCAGGCTGAGATTCCTTTCTGGGTCATGAAATCAATTTAGCGGGTCCAATAAGCATTAAGAAAATGAGACAGAATAGAATAGAAAAGGTCAGAGCCCATCCAATGCAATCAGGTTAAATGCTGTTCTGTGAAATGTGTCGTATACTATGTTTTAATGCAAAATGTGTTTCTTACTGCAGAGAGAGGTCCAAAGAAGTTTGGGTTCAGAACTGGACTTTCCTAGATGACTGTTTCCTACTCACTCCTCTCACTCCTCCCTCATCCCAGGGATGCCCTTGCTTCCCACTTCACCGAGAAAGTTGTTGCCATGACGAGCCTTTCCACAGGGCCCCGCCTACTCAGAGGCTGGCCTTCCTTCCTACACCTTTGTGTGAACTGTCCTCCCACAGACGGCCAACTGCTCCCACCCTCTTGTTGCTCAAGGACCCGTCTCCCGCAGAGGCTCCCCTTCCTTTCCTGCCTTCCCAACGGCCTATTCTCTAGAATCGTTTCATCGGCCTACAAACAGGCGACAATAATAATAAAACATACCTGCCTCGATTCCGTAGTGGCTTCTGGATGTCGCTCCATATTTCTGCTCCTCTGGCCAGCAAACCCCCTCTAAAACTGTCTACCCGCCAACTCTATTTCCTCTCTCCCTTTCTGCTTGAACCCACCCCATCAGGCTCTTGTCCCCAGCCCACCCCAGGAGCTGCTCTTATTCGGGCCACCAGGGGCCTCTACCTTGCCACAACCACCAGTCAGTCCTCAGGCCTCATTTCCTTGATCCAGTTAATCAATCTTTTTCTTATCCTTGAGGTACTTTTTTTTCCCCCTTGGCTCTGGGATTCCACATTCCCCTTGCATCCCATCTCACCTGAGAGGCCAGCTTCCTGGATGTGTGACCTGCGCATTTGCTCCGAAGGCCCCGAGCTTCGTTAAAGGCTCTGCCGCTGCCATCTTGAAATTCTTAATGACGTCGAGCGAAACGTCCGGCATTTTCCTTTTGCGCTGTTATCTGTGAATGACGTAGCTGATCTGTTCGCTGGTGGCTCTTTCTGTCTTTTTTTGCTGGTTCCTCTCATTTTTCGGACTCTTCGTGTTGGAGGCCCCAGGGCTCAGCCTTCAAAGGATTGTCTTCTCTACTGAAACCTATTCCCTTTGTGATCTCATCTGGGCTTACGGCTTTGGTCACCATCTATGCTCTCATGTCTCCCAGGGTATTTTTGCTTTTGAAATGCAGACCTGTCCATTTGGCTGCCTCCTTGGGTCTCCGCTTGGCTGTCCAACAGACCTTTCAAACTGAGCAAGTCCCAAATGTAATTCCCGACTTTTTAAAAATCCCTCTATAGCTGTCCCCACCTCAGAAAATGATGACGCTATTTTTTCATATCCTCAAACTAAACCTGAAGAGTCGTTCCACGCTCTCCCTCCTTCGCTACCTACTTCGTAGGCATCAGCAATCCTGTTGGCTCTACTTTCAAAATACACTCAGATTGCGAGCACTTCTCATCAGTAGACAACTGTTACAATTTTGAAAAGTTTATTCATATGCCTTTCCCTGCACCCTTCATCCACATCCTAGCATCTCTGAAACGGCGATGTTTCTTAAAATCACCACTGGCCAGGCAGCAGTCACAATGTAGTTGTCACAGCCTGTATGTTCGAATCAGAACTTCCAGATCAGCTGTCAGCATCTGGGAAGAAAATCCCAAGGTGATGGTGAAGCGTTCTTTTAAGAAGTGCATTACACAGAGGCACTGAAGATGACATTCTGACAAGGACAGAAGTGATTTTGAGTCAAAAAGTTATTCTGAAGAGTTAGACTCTGGATATGAAGATATTTTAAGAGTACCTCA